GTATGTGTATGACTTGTATTGTAAGGCAGGCATAGTTAGTCATCAAGCCGGACACGTTGTGTATGAGCCAGTCGGGACTCCGTGAGCCGCGGGGTGTCAACCTGTATATATAAAGGGACGACCCGGCGGCGGTTTAGGGCAAGAAACAAGAGAGATCGAAAGCTAGGTCAAGCGTATTCGTTCCCTGGTAATCGAAACCCAAGTAATACCACCTCAACTGGATTAGGCTTTTACATTCACCGTAAGGGGTCGAACCAGTATAAACTCCCTGTGTCCTTTGCCCCGTTTAACCCCTTTAAACTAAGCTAGTTGTGATGGCTCCACGACTAAGTCCTTTTGCTAGGACATCTGCCATGACAACTTCACGACAGTGTGAAAGTCTAGCGACTTCACCAAGTTGGGAGGATCTACCAGACTTGCACACCAGATTTCCAAGATCACCCGCTTGGGGTCAAGGGGTGTTTCAAGGAAAAGAGGGGGTGGGTTTTTTTGTGAACACACTACAGACGCAAGCACTCATACATACGCGCATACGCTCACTCCTATGGACGCACACACGCACACCCTACCCCTATGAGCACCTTCGAGAGACTGAGTCAACATATCATCTTGATATTTACGAAGTCACCGTAGGCGCCTCGTCATCGACGGGAACGTCTCCTCCCACTGAAAGCACATCGCCGAGAACTCTGAAATAAATTCAGAAATATTGCAAGCACCAGGACTTGAACTCTGGTGGGCTGGGGATACCACTGTCCCTCTAACCATCCAACCATAGGTTGGTTCGTATGAAGGGGGGTGTTAGCAACCCCAGTACTACTTCACCTGCTGGGCCGAAGGCCACGGGCCTACACGACCCATCCACCCCTATGCGCCGTACAAGCAAGCCCAATCAACACTTCATCGACAGTGACTGGGTGAATGGAAGGACAACAACTACTTCGAGTATGGTTAATAGTATAGCCAGTTGATGGCTATATGATGTTGCCATGTCATCTATAGTCAAATTTATAGCCGATATGTACAGTAGTTAGATGTAAATATGTGTTACTTTATTAACGCATGGCCCACGCCTCACTCTCACATAGCGCGTAGGAGCACGTGTTGCAGCTGGCTCTTAGGCTAGTCATAGTGGGAGTAACTTAGCTAGTAACATAGAGTACTTCAAGAAAATTTTGCTTATGTTGCAAAGAGTTAATGGGAAGTGGTAACATAATATGTTATTGTAACATAGCGCTTTTCAAGACAATATGAGTCTACAAGCTAATAAATAAAGCCATCTATGACACTAGTACTATGTTACTTTGCACTATGAAAGTGATAACTTAGACTAGTGTCATATGTATGACACTAGCATAAGTTACTCCCCACTATGACCAGCCTTATACTGTAGTAGCCGGCTTATCTTCTCTCTTCTCTTCTATCCCCTCCATGTCAGTAGAAATATAATATTTTAATTTTTATAGCCCGCTTACATAAGTTTATTGTACTTACTCAAGACATTTGGCATGTGGTGTGTGTGTAGGGGTATCTGTTTAGATCAAGGCATCAAGGCATCTGGCGTTGGTGTTGACCAATTATATCTGGCCTCCTTTCCCCTTTCTTCTTCCCATATCTCTGAAACTTGTATCCTGAATTTGAGATTGTGCCAATTAGCAAATACAGTGAGGCTCGTGGGATCAGTAGTTCCTCACACAGTATAAAGGGTGAGTTGGGATGGTTGAAAAATATTGGAAAAGATAAGCTGCAGAAACACATTCTTTTTGGAATGCAATAGCGAGTGACCGTTCGCTGGCCAGGATGGCATTTGTGAACGATGTGGTTGGCAGTTTTTGTGTTCTGGGATGGATTTTGGCTAACAGAAAGCATGTCATTTCGTTTATTTTAGTGATTTTTCCAGCCGAAAACTGTCACCATCAGATCGAGTTCGCTAGGGATTTCCTTCCGAGGAACGGTGGCTAATAACATTTCTTTTTCTTTTTGCTCAACTCCCCTAATGGCAAATAATTATCGGGAAGAAAGGAACTGCTGGAGGAGTGGGGTGTTTTGGAGCTCGGCCTCCATGGAGGCCCAAAGTTTTGAAAAATTCAAAATTCAAAATTTTCAGTTTCAAAAAATCTGAAAAAATTATACAAGTAAACAATGATGCGTGTGATATGTGTGTGTAAAAAACCTTGAAATGTGATCTGTGCAGAAAAGACAAATTTATGGGTTTGAGGATGAACAGTGCATCTTCTAAAAAGCTTCAGATTTGTGTTTTTTAGCACTTATTTTAACTATTTCGTCCTTAAAATTTACATCTGTGCATTTGTTTTCTCTACGTATATGTGTAAAATAATCAAAAAATTAAATTGAAAATTGAAAATTTGAATTTTTCATCATTTCTTGCATTGAGCATTTTCGCTACTGGAGATGTTGTAAGAGCAACTCCAATGGGGCGACCCATTTCGTTCGCGGCCGTCTGTTTGGGTCAGCGCGGACAGAAAAGACGGCCCAACGCGCCGACCCAAACGGATGCGCGTCCGTTTTTCGTCCGTGGGCGATCCATTCCCGGCCCATTTTTTAGTCTGATTTGCGTCGGCGTGAACACGCGACGGACGCGTGCGCGCTCGCCTACTCCTATCCTCGGGCCCGCTGGTCTTAGGCACAATGGCCTCCCGTCTCACCCTGCGACCAACAAAGCAACCCTCCCGCCTCCTCCGTCGCCAACGCCGC